TATTTCTGCAAAACATTATCTCCCTTATACATATGGACCAAAATGTAACGCAACTTTGCGGTGCAAAATAGGTATATCATGACTATATATATCACTTCTTTCATCTTATTGACTGTTACATTGCGATATCGTTAGCTAGAATAAAGTATAACGGTAGTTCTTAGTTCTTGCTCGAAGTAATTTGAAAGTGAAAGTTGAATTTACACTGATTTCAATTATTACTTCATCAATTTGTATTATTACTCAGGTTTCCACATTAATCTATTTCTGATGATTATAAGCCATCTCACTTCCAGTTCAGACAACCTAAAAACGACCGAAAACAGCTTAATCTTTTTTTGGTAATATATCGTTTATTATATTATTTTTCTCTGGCATTGCGAATATCATAATAAGCGGTTATTATTCATCATTTATTTCTGACATAATTTTGGACGCCTGTGGTGCAATGTCATGCACTTGCCAAATACATTTCAAATGTTGCATGTGGTCAGGTAATCATATGTTTTTAACAGAGAAAATATTTTGGGCAAAAGTTTATTGAATTGTCGGGACTTGAAATCCCTGAGCACTCATCCCTTTGATTGCCGATTGGCATTCATATTACGGTACTATGCCGACTGCATCATCGAGTATCTTGACGTGTAAACTGAACGCTTTTGTAAAGATTGCGTGGCAAGGTGCGTACTCTGAATCAGTGAATAACATGTTGATTTGTTCCAAAATAGACAGTGTGCAAAATAAATGAAACTCCTGAACGGTATTATGTATCCTCCAAGCCCGTATAAAGCCAATATATAGTCCACGTCTCTGACGCACTGTCAACTTGATGTTGGAGTCAATATATTTTGTTTTTGGGTTCATTGCGAGCGTAGCAAGCTTATATGATTTTAATATTTTCAGTTCTTGAATAATAATTCTGTAACTGTATTACACTGCCCGTGCAATATCTGTCCCATCCCCTCTAACATGTTTATAAACTCGGTGTTGAACTGTTGACACTTCCCCAGCATCAATTGAATTGGTCAGCGAACCATGCTAGAGACGTTTGTACCTGTAAGGTCAGTGGTCCGTAGCAGTAACAGGGCACACGTGTTAAATTTAAAGTTTTTAATCCGAGAATCTTTTTCTTGCATGATGGATAAACAGTTTTTTTTTCTGGTGAAAATTTAAATACATGTAAGTATTCATGATTTATTCCACTCTGGCATTTTACTTTAAAAAATGCAAGTTGGGAAAGTACAAGGTGGCTAGCCAAGACAGGTATCTAACTTAATTTTGTGCAACACTATATGGTACATATTACATGTGTAGCAAAATAAACTGGAATGGTAACACCTGTCCGAAAAAAATCTGGATGCGCCCCTGGTCAGTTCTCAAGAAAATATAATAAAAACTGTTGAAGATGGAAAAAGCATGACTAATAAAAATGACTGTTATATATGATATAAAATAAGGAACCTTGTAACAATGAAAACAACCAAAACATTAAATGATGTATTCTTTCTTGTATTTCAGGCAACACATGAAGCTTTGGAAGATGTGAATAAATCCAAAGAGGCTGCAATTATCAAAAACAATTGGATTGAAACTGAAGATATTATTATCTGCAATAAACATTTAACACGTGATCATTAAATGGACTGCATGATTGCCAGGCATCGTATACATGCTGTGCAGTTGTAGCCCAATATGGATTCAAAAGTGTCCATCAGAGCCATTTTATCACATATACATTTTTTTACATACACTGGGAATACATGATCTCTCATCAAAAACTCAAAATTTTCCTCACTTCTAGTTGAGGCCATAGCTCCCTCAGATATTCTCCCCACCTAGTCACTTTCCTCATTGGTTAGTGCATTTTGCAACAGTTCATGGGGCCCCCATTATGGGTATCGAGCCTCGTATTGGTATGTCCTGGAATCAGAACTTTATTTAAGGTTACAACCAATATTAAAATCCAAATAAGTTAAAATTGAAAATTGCCACCTATTTGAAGAAATATATCTAAATGCGAAAGTTATGAAGGATGGGGGACTTTCTGATAAAAAAATTCCTGTGAGATGTATTCGCTGAGGAGAACCCCCACTCCCAACCTGGTCTTAACCGTCCAAGACTACTGGCAAATACACATACATGCAATACGCCAGTGTGAAGTTTCATGAACATACTTCTGTAACTCACAGAGCAGTATTGAACCAAAAGAGGCTTGAACATTTGTATATAATACACGATTAGTAATAACACAGCATGAAACTGTCCATGGAACTTTACCTGGCAAGTCTAGTACATTTCACATGATGCGAAATTAGCGAGCAATGGTTAAGCTTAATTGACCCTAAACAAGGAAAAAAATTGGGGACTGTGATTAACTGTTGCCTCAGCACATTTAATGATAACACACAATACACTTGACTGACTTATTGTAGAATGGATCCCATGCTATACCCCTAGTTTACGTACGTAAGAAAATGATATTTTGAATATCAGAAAAATATGAACTCAAGATCAATTTCACAAGCCTATCCTATTTTTTGCATAAAAATTGATAACTGAAGTTTGATGTGATTCATGTATTACAATATTTATTTGCAGTGAGATTGTTGTTTTATGACACAATGTTAATTAGTCCCCAACCGGTCCCCGAATGGAGGATATAGAAATTGAAGTTAATAGAAGTTTCATGCTGTTACTATTAACATAGTCATACAAGGAGGTGTATACTGACATATGACTCATGGCAAAATCCTAGTTGACCTAAAGACATTTGTGATCACGTGTACTGCTGCTGGTCTGTAGGAAATATATGTTTCACCCTCTACCAATAGGCACTAAGAAGATATTGCAACAGTCATATAATTATTCATTTGGAAGTCAACTCTTTATTTATGGCGGAAGCAGAGCCCAAAGCTTCTTGAAGCAGTACTTGCTGTTGGTCCTCGGAGGGAAAACAAATTTCAGATTATTGCCATCACAGACATTAGATAAGAGTAAATATTCGTTCACATAATTTTCAGCAACTTTAAATGGCGTTTAACCTGCATCTCAACTGACTGTATTGTGTTCGTTTTTCCTAAAATTTTATAATCAAGAAAGCATGTGTCTGGAGTACTTTCAGTACTTTGATTAGATTTAAATTCATTGAAAAGTGTTTAATATTTCTAAAATTAAAACTTTTCAGCCACATTTTATCTTTCACAGTATAAATGGGAAAAAAACAATTTGCTCTCATGAGTTATGCCAGTAAGTATGCATTTTGCTTCCAAATTACATTTTAAAAACAAAAGTATAATACATGTAGCACTTGAACCAATGGAACCGAATACTTCCACAGTATTGCATCTCAAAATAACTATTAAATATGAATGATTGGGCTTTAAAAAGGACCAACCAGTCAGGGTTGACAGGGCAAGGAAATTACATGTATGTCTACGTTTAAAATCAATTAATTTGGCTACTAAGGACCTGTTACAGGAACAAAAGAATTTTGCCCACAAAGCAATTTAACCATTACTGAGTTATATTTGTAGCTCCCTAAGACACGACCCATGAGANCTTTGGTTGTGCTTATCTATTACTGTTTTGAAAAATAATTATGTTACAGCATAATGAAACTTACCATAAATGTAAAGAGTATCAATTTGATCAATGTTTACCATGATATAACTATGCCAGATAAAACAAATCATAGTCAAATCGGGGTATAGAATATATAGTGTGTAGTAAACAAAAGAGACATTGGAGTTGCATAGTACTATTGCTTATGTATGCTATTAATTTGGTTATATCATGTATACAGTCATACAGGAAAATGTGAAGAAAAGCTAATGCCGGTTTTGTAACTGGGGTGAGACGGGCCAAGTTTGGTTTTATTTCATTCCACGTGAATGTATAGAAGCGTGCCACACAAATACTCATGACGCCAATCCTCTAGTGTCATGGGCACTTTGATTGTATTTCCTTGCAATATCCATGATATCATGAATGAATTATTTTATGAGCAGTGATCAACATACCAGATACCACGGTGAACGGACATATGCTATATCTACATGTAATTTCAGCAGTGTAAGCAATGTGCTGAACCTTATTTTCATATTGTAGCGGCCAAAATTAGCTTAAATAGACTTTGTTAAGGTTTTTAAGCTTGCTTAAAGTAAAAGTGTATGAGAGATTTGTTTTTTGTTCAACGTTATATCACCACACCCATTACAAAAATGCAGGCTGTTGACTGTTATAAGGTTGAGGCATTTATATGGAGTGTAAACAATCTGATGAAATATATTTCCATATCTTACGGGACCAAAAGAGCTTAATTTCAATAAACTTGCTGTCGAACATTTAATTTGCTGTGCAACATTGAAATATTTCGTTTATTATACATTATTTCCAAAAACTATTTGATAGTATACGGATTCACATCTATAACCAACACTAATACTTCACTGTAACCCATGTTTTGTACGGTCTCCTATATTATACAAATAAAGAATGCTCAAAATAACAGAACATGTACCAGTTTATCAACCTACAACATGTTGAGATACATATGTTGTCATTTTTCGTGTATTTTATGAGCCAACATGGCGAACTACAATAGGTGTTCAGCGTACCTTTCGCGCCCTACTTATCAATTATTATGAGTTTATGGTATTTGTGTTTATTCGTCATCCAGCTGCTGTAAACTTAGATGTCATATTTCTTAACGGAAAGAACGTTGTTTAAATGCATCAGTTCCATGTGTTACCCATGGTATCGCGCAACAACTTCAACCACTTTATCTCTGAGCTGCCGCGTTTGAACTAGATCAAAGATGGCGGACTGATAACCGGCAAATCGTATATTGCGTCTACCATTTGTGTACATGTAGTGGGCAACATTTTAAATCATTTACATGTACATTCTGTAGCATGCGTTCAAAAGTATTGAAGTAAATATGAGTATAACATATATCAAAATGAGTTAAATGGATTAAAAAAAAGCAATAACAAAAAACAAACAAAAATATAAATTTTAATATTATTTTCACAAATACAAAATGTATGGTCTTTTGAACAACTCGTTAGACTAATCAACATTTAGATTTTATTACTGTAAATAATGTCTTAATTTTTCCTTATAATTAAACATCTTTATTTTAAGGACCCAGTGTTAGTTATCTAAGAACTTGGCGCACGTCTTCTTCTTCCACTACACAACCAACCGGAACAGGTCTTGGGTCTGACCAATGAGGCGTCAAACGTGAAACAGCCGAGCTGGACGTCGGTGGCAGGCTCGCGGAGTATCACGGTGATATTGTAATCGCCCTGTAATGAAAGATACATATGAATCAGCTATTTTTGCTATATTTCCAATTTGAATTAAAAAGTCTGTCGTGAGCATTTATGTTCCTTTTTTGTACAGTAAATTTGGCGTATCCACAATCAACTAGATATACTACTTTCTCTTCCTTCAGTATTTACTGTGGGCTTTATGTAATATGGATGTAAACGATTTGCGTTCATACAGGCATGAAAAAAGATTCCTTTCAATCCATATATTATGACTTAAAATAGTATTTTAAACTTACAGCAATAAAGGAAATTGACTTACGTCGGCAATAAGATCCACGGCGCTGGAGAGCTTTGGGATGTGAATCACGAAATTATTGACGGCAATGTTCTGAGGTTGTATTGGACATGTAATATTGGCGCCTACGCTGGCAAACATACTGCCGATCTGTTGATAAGAAACAAGAGAACGGAAACATTAGGGTATTTGTACATGACATATTTGGCATACGTGTATAAGATGGTAGTTCAACGGAACATCATATGAATGAGATACATACTGAAACAAAAGTTTAACTGGAATAAGGCCTTTACTTATTCAAATGAAATAGCGTTTATTTCGTTCTCTGAACTTTAAATAGCTTTTTAATATGAACCACACAGTATTATCCCTATTATCACTAAAGTCATCATAACAGGGGGAGAAGAATCTCTATTTCCAACAAAGTCATCATTACAGGGGAGGAGAATCTCTATTACCACTAAAGCCATCATTACAGGGAGAGTAGAATCTCTATTACCACTAAAGTCATTATTACAGGGGGAGTAGAATCTCTATTACCACTAACGTCATCATTACAGGGGGAGTAGAATCTCTATTACCACCAAAGTCATCACAACAGGGGAGTAGAATCTCTATTACCACTAAAGTCATCACAACAGGGGGAGTAGAATCTCCATTACCACTAAAGTCATCATAACAGGGGAGTAGAATCTCTATTACCACTAAAAACATCATAACAGGGGGAGTAGAATCTCTATTACCACTAAAGTCATAACAACAGGGGGAGGAGATAGAATCTGTATTACCACTAGAGACATCATTATATTAGAACAAAAATCACTTTTCTTCGCCATCTGCCCTCAAAGATAATATTTTACACCTTGCCTTTAAACAATATGGTTACTTGCCTAATTACCACTTGGACGTATGATTTACTTGTACATGAATGTTTATGTTGCATTTCCAACATAATTGAATTTTCCAAGATGCTAATGGTACTACACACAGCAGTGTCCGGTTTGTCATTACTTATAGCTGTATTTTACCTGTGATGTGACGTTTGTTGCTACGGCTTGACTTCCGACACTACCGAGATCATTCAGAATAGAACATCCGTCGAAGGTACTGCAATACATCATATTAACACATAAACACACCACCAGGATACCGTGGATCAAAAAACACATATACATGTATCTACAATCCCACATCACCAGGATACCGCGGATCAATATATATCTACAATAACACACCACCAGGATATCGCGAATCAATCTAACAAACATATCTACAATAACACACCACCAGGAAACCGCGGATCAATCTAACAAATATATCTACAATAACACCCCACCAGGATACCGCGGATCAATCTAACAAATATATCTACACTAACACACCACCAGGATACCGTGGATCAATTTAACAAATATATCTACACTAACACACCACCAGGATACCGCGAATCAATCTAACAAATATATCTACAATAACACACCACCAGGATACAATGTATTAATCTAACACATATATCTACACTAGCACATCACCAGGATACCGCGAATCAATCTAACAAATATATCTACAATAACACACCACCAGGATACCGCGGATCAATCTAACAAATATATCTACAATAACACACCACCAGGATACCGCGAATCAATCTAACAAATATATCTACAATAACACACCACCAGGATACCGCGAATCAATCTAACAAATATATCTACACTAACACACCACTAGGATACCGCGAATCAACTTGAATCAATCTTACACATATATCTACATTAGCACACTACCAGGATACCTCGAATCAAAGTCACACATATATCTAGAATAATTTCAACGTTCCTAATAATATTTTTTTAGATCACTTGGAAGAAATTGAGTGTTTTAAACGTGAATATCTGATGTAATATTTGTTGTTCTTTAGTCTGTTCCTGATAACTTACCAGCTACCGATACCTCCCACACACCCGATCGGTACATCAGCGCCGAGAGCTGTCTTCCTCACAAACTTGAAGTCCATCATGGCTACCTGAATGGTTTTTAGGACGGTGGCGTTGAAGGAGAGATGTAGATCGCCCGGTATAGCGAGAGGGACCGGTGACACGGTAACACTGTGGACCACCAGTGCATTGTGTACCTTGTCGCTGGCTACCAATAATTAAAGTCAGAAGTGAATCATTACGGTCGGAAACTGCTGTAAACATTCATGGAACGAGAGTCAAAAATTAAGCTTAACTGCTAATTTTCACTGATGTTTCACGATGGAAATCATTGATGGCACTGGGTGGTATTCCAAAAACAGTTTCTTAAAAAAACATTCCGAAAGGATATCAAATTCGAAATAAAAATGTCCTAATAAGAAGCTCACTTTAGTTAGATATGAAGTCGACATTGTGATGTACAGTACATGCATCAACACATAGAAACGTAATAATCGTGAGACAGCTTCTCGTACTTCGTTCTGTGTATCTACTTTTAACACCAAATGCTTAACAGTGGTGCTTTCAATGTGTGGACATGGACGAAAAAACACCAGTAGTCAATAACTGAATACGTAGAAGTTACTTACTAGAGGCAGAAATAAAGGTACCAAAGGCATGCTTCACAAACAAAATAGAATATATATGAATAAAACGTTGCAGCAGTTAATTGGTTCCACAGTTAATTTCAAACTGTTTTGTTTCAAAATATCAAATGTACGTACAGTGACTAAATTATCACAAAAATGAGGTGAATGTGATTCCCCCGTTAATATTCATATCTCGTAGTTTTAAACATCCATCATGTTTTAAATTTCTTTTTTTACAAATGTAAGTCACAAAGTGAAATGGACTACGTATTGCTCTGTTACATAGCTTTGATTAGTTTATATCTACCCACTGATGTACATCAAAATAAGTATATCTTACGTATATTATTATGTTAAGTATGTAACACTTTCTAATGAATCAAGGAATAAAGCAAATCATTTCAATCTAATTTACCAACTAACCTGCAGCACGCAACAGTTTTCCTATCCCCACTCTGCAACTTATATACACTCAAAATAAACGGTTTTTCTTTACTTTGCCAATTGTTATAGATTTGATTTATATACTTCGTTATAAGGAAAGACATATTTAGGTAAATATAAACAAATAAATTAGGAAGACATATTTAATAATTGCAAATTAATCAATCAAATTTTAATCCCACTGCACAGTTTTCTAACAACATCTTAGGGTCTAGATATAAATAAACCTATCTTACACTGTTATACCCCGCTATTTGAATGTGCCTGACTGTTGAATCGTGTTTTGTAGGACTAATTACAGATATTGTGCGAAATTGAAACGCATGAATTTCTTTTACGCAAAGAATCTTGAACTTTCGCAGTCAATAACATAGGGCAAAACTAGAACAAAGGATGTATTTTTGAACGGGAGCTCTGAATAAATTTCAAAGATAACAAGACCAGGAGTTCCAGAGGCGTAAACGTCTTCGGTTTCATCACCGACATCCGTCATGTAAAAAAAGGACAAATGCAAGAAATGTGATGTCCACAAAACCACCAAGTGAGAACCGAAGCTGTTTGATCAAAACTACAAAGCACACTAACGATCATATTCTAAACCATCGACCTCTCAATGCAAACAAGGAAAGAGAAACAATTGCCATTGAGATCATGAAGGTGACCGTAGAAAGCGATCATACATCTTCATAAATCGGTATCTCTCGAAATCCTTTAAGTTTGTCCGTCAGAAGTCGACATCTATCACATAAATCATGATATTTTGGGCAAGCCTTTGAATACCGAGTCAACTGCAAAAACGGATGCTGCTATCGAGAAACGGAAAGTTCACGATTGAACCATTGACATCATCGCATTTATTGTACAACATAATTGTTGCTGTCATGTTGTTCTATTTAGGTAAGCAGTTGATGTAGAAGAGTCTGTAGTGATTTTTGAACAGTAAGTTGATTTATAACAAGTTAACGAACAGCAAGATGATTTATAGCAAGTTAACGAACAGCAAGATGATTTATAACAAGTTTATGAACAACAAGTTGATATATCACGAGTAAGTGTTTAAAAAAGATAATGTGATCCAAGTCAAGTTGACGTATTCAAAACAGACGTACACTTTAACTTACACCAAGTTACTGTAACCAATTTCTCGTAATGCTCCAACAGCAAGTTTTTACAAATAAATACACTTAAATACAGAAGAAGTCTACTTACAACAGTCTGACCATTTGAACGGTAATGTTGCTGAAGCCGTGGTAGCTAGTATGGCCAGAACGGCAAGGATTGAGTTGTGTCCGTCCATTTCTACGAGTAGATCAGTAACTACACTGACGTTCGTTTACTGGCTATTTAAGTGTTTCATAGGCACAAAGTCCATTTCCAAAAGACATGAGGTGATATACTATTGAGATAACCTTTGTACCTGTCATAGTCGACGACATTTGATTGTGCATGGCAACATCGCAATTCGTCGGTTTTACACCCAAGTCAATTGTTTGAAGGCTTTTTTTTTGCTTTGCTAGTCTTATCTATAAGAGAAATTAGTTCAAGGTAAGGATTTGATGTTCAAAGATTACAAACGACATGCAATGTGCATGCACTACGAGCGGAAAACCACAAAACTCAACAATATACATTAGCATGGTTACTTGTTCTGGTTTGGCGACGTCGATAAATATTTCGTGTTGAGGATGTAGTAAACCGTGTGGAACAAGCAGGTGACCTTGTAGTCACGTATACGTAGTGCATTTCTTTGACTGATCTAGTGAACATCTTATACAGTCTCGGAATCGTTTCCCAACATTGGAAGATTTTTTCTTCAAGCATAGGATGTTAAGCCAAAAACAAGTGCAGGATCTTGAAGCATGTTATTACGAAGTTTGTCTGTTTTAGTACAAGAACAGCCAAACAAAGTTCATAAAATGCTAAAGAACGGGAAGAATAAATTATATTTTGATTTTAATAATTTTCTAGTTATTTTGTTTCATGTACATTTTCCACATTGACTTGTATATTTCTATAAACTGATGAATGGCCAGCCTGAAAAAAACTGACAGGTATGTTAAAAATCATATTCGAGATAATTATGTAAGCGTTAAATTTTCACAACTTATCTTCAAAAGCTCACTTTTGAAGTCAAATAGGTTCAAACTCCGGAGGGCCAGGATTGTATACTGTATCAAAGATGTGGTCAGGAAACAAACCAATTTCAAATCTTCTGTTTCATTTTTCCACTCCCTTTTATTCAGAAACGCGGATGCCAACATTTGATACTTTTCCTTTCCTAACACGTCACCCCTGCTTAATATAAACATTTTCTGGGTAGATGTGCCTTGTACACCGATGTAGTTATTAATCAGGCACTTTTGTTAAGGTGGAACTTCAATTTGCACTGAAGACATTGAATGGTTACGATGTGTCCGTTATTTTGAAAACGTAATATATCCTTTATGTATTTTTAAGGATACAGCTCTATTTTTAGTTCTCTGTGCTATTTATAGCCATGGATCTAAAATTCTGTCGGAGTTTTGCTTGTAATCGCATCAATGATATAACTATGCATTTATGGGAGAACATTTGGGATGCCCGATTGCAAGTTTGATACAATTATTGTTCTATTTTCTTGAAAAATGTACTCAAAGTTAATAAGTACTCTTGTTAAAAACTAAAATGTGCACTTTGACATGCTAAAAATAGCACACACGCCAACAGCGTATGTAACATAGCTCGTACATGTAGCACCCCACTACACGATTGCACTACACTGTGTGTGTATGTCCAGAGAGGTAAAACAGGGAGCGGGGCATCCGTGTCTTACAGACACTTTTCTATAGTTTTGAAATAACAGAACTGATGTAAGGTCTCTTGTTTCCGGGACCTGACAACAGGATTCAGCAGTTTTAAGCACGTCAGTCATATGCCCAGATAACTACGTTGACCTTTGCCTCTTGTTTATGTTGACAACGTAACTGTTTATGATTTAAAATATATGTATCTTTTATTTTACTCAAACAAAATTTACTATAGATATAACATTTGCATGTTCAGTACAACTTATAAGCACCCATTGGTGTAAACAATCGAACGCAAGTATGTTTGGTTTTACGTGTATGCTATATTTTTTACGTTTATAACGACAACAGGTCGTATGTCTATTTGATAATATATAAAACACACATAAGTGTTTCCAGTTTGTGTTTTAGCTTAATACTATGTTACTTCAGGGTCCCGATGGTTTTTACAAACAACAAAAAGTCGATTCAATATTCAAACAGTTTATTCAACATTTTTCATGAACAAATATTAAAATATTGTATACTAATTACAAAGGTACATGTAACATTAAACTATACTTTCGATTAAACTCACTCTGTATGTATCTCTTTCTGTATCAAAAGCCAGCCAGGGTTACCCCTATCCCCCTACTGGCCCCGTCCCAGTGCGTTAAACATTTCGCCTAATATTCAGCCCCGCTATAGAGGGACATACCAAGACAATTACAATGGAAGGGGTTAAACATCCGCTCTTTTGTATAAGGTGTAATTCAGTTCCATGCATGATGCTGGCATAACTTCTAACAAAAGCCAAACACAAGAAAATAAAAGCAATATATATTTCAATCATAGATTAAACCGACTACACTGGAAAAACTGTAACACTATAATTTGTGATATATCTGGCAGCACACATATCGTGATTAAACACTACTTACATAATTGTATATATTCACTCTTTTTGCAATGACAATAAATGGATTTTGGAATCCGGAATTCGAACAACAAACATGTAAGCTAACTCCATATCTTACCTTTTTTTATCGAGTTCAATATCAGCAATACACAACTCAATGAACATTTAAATAAGTGAAGTATTTACAATTTGTATGTCTTTCATAGGAATGTATGGTAGAAAGCGAACAAATTATAAACATTTGAAATAATTAAGTTCTATTTACAACAATATATGTATATATATCCTCGTTTAAATAGGTTTGTGATTTATTAAGTAATAAGTGTCCATATGCGACTGACATCATGCCATACCTTGACACGTGCTTTTGCACTTGAATGACATTCATTTCATGTGAACGAGTCACGTGGCACGTTAAACAGCTGTTCGGTCCAAAGTCCAGTGTATTAGTGTGATCATTATGGGATCGGTCTGCTTTATCGTAAACTACAGGTGGATTGGGAGGGAGCGATGTTACTTTATCGTGACTATCTATACATACCTGTGGAGGTCGGGAGAGTCAAATACACACGTGTTAAACATATTTGTTTAGCTATGGACTAAAGGATGAGGATTAAAGTAATGTGTTCTCACTTAATGGAATGACTCTAGCATTAGTACGTTTGTATTTATTAGTATTGAGAAATTTATATTTGAATTTTTGGGTGTGGCTATTTCAGTTCAAGATGAATGGGCAGATTTAGAGAGACTCCATAGAACGATCTTTCTGTAATCTTATTATTTACTACCAGTGATGTAAGACAGGGCTAGATATTTGTCTCGGAGAGAATCATCAAGGTCATATTTTTTCTAAATCCGCCCGACAGGAGTTGAACATACCACTATAGACTGCTATCACAGTGCGCTACCGATTGGGTAAAGTCACCGGGACAACAGCATAACGGTTTCCACAGGACTCGCACAACGAGCATCATACCTTAAGTAAGTTCCCATTTATAAACATGTTAAAACTAAAATATCTAGTAAAGAAACAGGGGAGACCCTCAGGACGCCATGGACCATCACTTCGTTGTCAGTTATGAAAGTCAATGAATACGGAAACAAAAAGATATGTTTCTAAAGATGTTGAATTAAATAGTGTGTGACTTATCTAGTATGAATACATTGGTGTATTTCTTGACCTTGCTATGCACACCACAGTCAAATAACTGCATGATTAATATTCATTTGCGTCTGCAAGCAAATCATCTAGTTACTTAATCTGTTTCTGCACACACTATTACAAACACTATTAACAAAGAGAACTAGGCGTACCAGTAGATAACTACGGAAACCCTACCATTACATTTTCTATTTTTTTTAGCAACCTAACCTTAAATGTTTTTGTTATATTTTTTACACAAGCTGGGATACCGTACCTCATACCAAACCGAAGGAGCAATCTGTTCTTATATCGACGAACGGAGATTGACATATAAGATGTAAACGATTTTGGATCAGATGTTGTTAAACACAACAACAGCCAAGGTGAAAGAACGAGATCCTAGCTAGGTCCTTCTATTTCACGTTCAGATATATTGAAGATATGCTGTCTTCAAATAAAAAATATATTGACCACGTCCACCACATATTCATCTCTGAGATTGAAATCAAGGACACCACAGTCTTCTCTATCTCAGCCGCTTAAGTTGATCATTGCTTACAACATAACACGAAAACCAACCAAAAACAACAAACAGTCAAAAGCAGCATCAGCATCTTCATCAAAACCAGCATCTTCATCAAAACCTGCACCACAAGCAAAACCAGCACCACCATCAAAACCATCTCAGAACATAATGTAAGCATGACGTTAACGATACGCAACTAATAACTAATATATCCATGAAATAGGAAGAACTTTAATAAACGTTATCTTTTCATAACGGTTTTGACTGTGCGTCTGATCCTAACACTATATCAACCGAAGCGCTCCACAGCACGTACAGTGTTCACTTATCAGTGCTTTATATGGCGCTAGTAAGGATTCACAGTCATACTTCTGTGATCATTGATAATTTTACAACGGAAATCTTCAGTGTATAAAGTAGCATAAACAGTCACTCTTTCGACATTTCTGTTTACATAAAAAGTACATCTGTACCCCAAGCTTCAATGCAACTGGTTGTAATTATCGTTAAAAATGAACTTACAGTGATCTTGAATTTTATTACCTTTTTCTCTTGGTGTTTTTTTCCTCTCTCTCAAATCCCGACATTATTATACATTCCCTATAACTAAGATGGACTCAGAATGTGGTCTCGTATAATGCGGTCGAGTTAAATAGATATATAAGCTAATCAATTGTAAGTATAATCGACACTGCAGACAAAGGAATGTGATGATTTTGAGGTAATCCATCCCATTTTCAAGACAGAAACATGAACAATTACATATCACAACAGATAACATAGATGTTTACCATATGTAGTTCACAATAACGTTAAGAATTAGTTTATATAAATATTCTACGAGTTCCCTTATGATCAATGGACAATTTCGAAAAAGTATGAAGCACCACAGCAACGGTGATAGTAGAAAGATCAAACTGAAATAAGAGGTGATACGTATGAACTTGCATTTTATATTGCATGACAAATGAAGTCTGTATAGCGGTAATGGTAAAAGTTTACTAATTACAGTAAAGATGTTACGTTGACTTTGATTTGAGCCCAGGCGGACAAATACAAAACGGTTATTTGTTTAACTGGTTTGTGAATATCAGTAACACTTATATAAGATATTAAGTCCAAAAAACGATGACACAAAACAATAGACAGATAGTAATGGCAACCTTGTGTTTAACATAAAAAAAAAAATGAAACTAGTACAGGTCTTGATATTTGTGAACATGTACATGACGTTTTGTTTCAATCAGAAAAAGCATTGTCTATGCAGAAATGACAAAAATATATTTTATCACGCATGTAAGCTTTGTTTTTACCCTAGAAGGTGGAACCACACATTTGTAATATATGTATGTCTGTGAACAAGCTGTCGAAGTGTCCTGACAATCGTATGAGAGTTGGAGTCTAAAGAGCGATAACACCACAATTATATTTATATAACTCAGCAATGGTTGCCTGGTTTGTTTACATCAAAACTAGGAATCATAAATTTGTACAGAAGGTGATGTGTGTACATGGAAATCCATGCAACCCCTATATTCCCGTCCCGAAGGTATGAAAATGAAGGGCTAGCTGCTAGTACATGTTGTTGGTTTAAAAAAACAATCAATCCAAGGATGTCTTCAATGTTCAAAATATGGCGCCAACTTGAAACATAGTATGCTGTATTAGTTAAGAAAAATAAAGCTAACATTTGACAGATCGTTTTTTGTTTTCGAAATTACCCATAAGATATTGATACTAAATTATTATGCGAAAAAAACACGTACGCAAACATATCTAGATTTTTGATATGGAATAAAATAATATGCTTTACAAGATTGTTTTGTTTTCTAAATTACCCATTAGTTATTGATACTAATTGATTATGCGAAAAAAATACGTACGCAAACATAATTATGTAATCTGAAACAGGTAAAATTGTATGCATTCTTTACAAAAATTTAAAAACCGTTTTAGCAAAACTAATAAATGAAGAAGTTAGGTAATCACAAATTGATGCGTCCATTTTTGATGTGTCTACACGTTATTATCTGAGTGAGGTTATCACACGCTGATGCGTCCATTTGTGATATCTCTACAGGTACTGCTGTTCAGGGGCAGGTACCGGTCAGTGTGTGTGTCCAGGTAGTACACAGGTTCAGTTATGTGAGGAACATCAAATCCTTCTTTCTGAAGACTTACTTTCCTTTGTTTGAACGTAGACGTAATTTCGAACTCCTTTTGTAAACGAAGAAAGCGTGGTCTTGCATATGATGGCAGAAGCTCCTTACACTGATTCCTAATAACGTCTAGCTCATCTTCCGATAGTGTGGACCGCTCTGTGTCCTTAGGACAGACAGCCACCATGCCCGCCCGGCCTTCACATCCTACGAACACAGGACGACAGTTACTACGTACACGAGGTAATGACCTTCATTTTAGGAGGTGCTGGAGAGCAACCAGCATAGCTCAAATATTGGAACAATATATTCGAAAAATATTTCAGTCTTAATTAAGCAAATAGAAAAGTTTGACTTCACTGGAACCCCCATGCCAAATCCACAATCCAAATAGAAATATTTAATATTATATTGCTATATTGTGAATTTTAACATTTGCAACATACTATATATAAACTAGGCATTTTGGAACATAAATTAAAGTCCGAAACAAATATCTATATATATCAATGTTGGATCCATGCGGAACCTCAAAGCCGGATATCACCATTGAGGTACAAATACCGACGGTTATATTATAGTGAATATCAACTGTATGTAAACTATTAAATCGGTGTTTTTATATTTATCGCCACGTTTCCTGACGTTTTCCTGAGTATTTAGAATGATGAATAAAGCCATGAACAACAAGGCATCACAAGTGATACAAATCCCATCGCATTCACATATTGTGACATATGTAACAGGAAATGAAGTCGCTAGAGCAATGACAAAGATTTTTTTTAAATTAGTAACATTGACCTTGACCTTAAATGTAGTAAGCTGAAATGCAAACGTGTTCAAGGCATTGTCATACCAATCACTTGTATCAAGTTTCTTAAAATTTCATTAGGGAATGAAGTCGATAGAGCGATGACAAAGTTTTTGGTAAAAATATACTAGCGGAAAAAAGAAACTGTGCATCCCTAAAATGTGTTATAAAAATAAATGTGTATGACGTAGAACAACAAGGTTTTCAGGGACAATTATTTGTTATTTATTAACAGTTGCATTCCAATTTCAACGTTACGGAATCAATAAGTTCCGCTCAGGAGTGACGTAAACACAGCAGGGGTCAATACTGAGTTCACAAAGTTAATACCTCGTATGTACACCGTTTGCCTGAATGCAAGCCTGGCAACGTCGACGCATGGAGCCTATCAGACGGTTCAAGAATGCTTGTGGGATGGCATTCCAGATATGTACCAACGCTGCAGTCAAATCAGCCAACGTCACCGGTTGATGAGGTAATGCACGTAATCTGCGCTTCATTTCATCCCAGACGTGTTCAATGGGCGACAGATCGGGGGATACAGCAGGCCAGGGCTACACGTCAACGCTCTGCGACACGAGCTGTGTGTGGCCTGGCGTTGTCCTGCTGTAGCGTTATGTGGCTTTGCTGCTCTTGCCCGAATGGAACAACGTGGGTCCGGAGGATATCGTTAAGGTAACGTAGCGCGTTCAAATTCCCGTTAACAACCACTAGAGGCGTTCTCCCTTTGGCTGTGATGCCGCCCCAAATCATAACGCTGCCTCCGCCGAAAGAACGCCGTTGTACCACACACGCGTCACGGAAACGTTCTCCAACGCGACGATACACTCTGGAACGGCCGTCACTACTATACTGCACGGGAAAAAATTTCAATGACAACAAAATGCCTGACAAATCCCGCAGAGTAAATTGCAGATGCCTTCTGCACCAGTCAAGACGTGCTACACGATGACGTGGCAGAAGAACTGGGCGGATTGCAGGACGTCGCGGACGGATAGCTCGTTCACGCAATCGGTTTCGTACAGTTCTCGGGCTTATTGGTAGCAACCCAGGGATTGTCCGTGCAGTCAAACTTGTCGTTTGGAAGCGATTTCGCAAATGGACAAGCCGAATATGGTTGTCCTGTTTACGTGACGTCACACGTGGACGTCCCACACGAGGTCGATCGCCGACGTGGCCATACTGTTGATGTCGTCTCCACAAATCCCGGATTGTGTTTCGATGGACATGAAAACGTGTAGAGACAACGGCTTGGCCCATACCAGCTTGAAGCATACCAATAATCCGGAGGCGGTCATTTTCATTGAGCCTCGGCATAGCATCAATCACAAATTAAAACGTTATAACCCTGTTTTTACTGTTCACTGGTCTCAACAGAGTGACCCAACAGTTGAAACATAAACTTTCATTGTTGAATTGGATGGCTTGGACGAGAAAAACGAGCAAACTGGTCAACGCCTATAGAGAGCAAACTGCACGGGAAAAAATTTCAATGACACACGGATAGTGTGTATGTGTCATACTCGGTTATGTGTGTGAATGTTCATGTATATACAGTGGGTAATACATGTTCTATAACAATTCTCCGCATGCACAGTTTCTTTTTTCCGCTTGTATAGTAAAAGTGACATTGATCCTTAACTTAATTACCTGAAACGCGAACGTGTACAAAGCAATTTTCATACCAATGACGTGTATCAAGTTTCATGAAATTTCATTGATGAATGAAGTCGATAGAGTAATGATAAAGTTTTTGGTGAAAATAGTAAAAGTGACTTTGACCTTCAACGTAGAAACCCGAAACGCAAACCTATTCAAGGCATTGTCATACCGAACACTTGTATCAAGTTTCATACAATTCCGTTGAGGAATGAAGTACCTAGAGCGATAACAAAGGGTGTAACATAGTACGGGCGGAATCTTGTATCCCCTCGAACTTTCGTTGCAAGGGGATAATAAGTATTAATGAGGGAGGTCTAATGATGAATTCCATATTTAGACGCTTACTAAACGCATTGGAAAAACGAGGCTTCTTAAACACAATTGGTCTACTCGATTTGTTGAATGGAGTCAACAGCCCAATAGACACGCGTATGCCGGTTTGTATTTGAATTGTGCGCATCTGGCTTCCTATGGAGAAACGCAAAACTAGGATAAAAATATGTGATTCAACTGTTAGAAGCAGAACCTTATAACTACATTCAAGCTATAAAACTTAACTTCGATTTAGTTTTAATCGAAAACTTGTTTTGAGTTTTGACGGAACTACACCAGTCTTCGAATTCTAGGGAACCTCTAAGCAAAATATTAGTAACCAAGCAACATACTAAAGGCTATATAAATGAATAACGAGATTTGAAACGAAACACTTTAACCTGCAAGGCCGATGCTAGTGCCGGGTAAAAGCATGCAGGAGACGTGTTTGGACTGACGACCAAACATCACATACTTATTATCTGGGACGAGTACACCGTAACAACACGTACTTACCTGGGACGAGTACACCGTAACAACACGTACTTACCTGGGACGAGTACACCGTAACAACATGTACTTACCTGAGACGAGTACACCTTAACGACAGGTACTTACCTGGGACGAGTACAACGTAACAACACGTACTTACCTGAGACGAGTACACCGTAACAACACGTACTTACCTTGGACGAGTACACCGTAACGACAGGTATTTACCTGGAACGAGTACACCGTAACGACATGTACTTACCTGGGACGAGTACATCGTAACGACAGGTACTTACCTGGGACGAGTACATCGTAACGACAGGTACTTACCTGGGACGAGTACACCGTAACGACATGTAGTTACCTGGGACGAGTACACCGTAACGACACGTACTTACCTGGGACGAGCACAACGTAACAACACGTACTTACCTGGGACGAGTACACTGTAACGACAGGTACTTACCTGGGACGAGTACACCGTAACGACAGGTACTTACCTGGGACGAGTGCCCCGTAACAACACGTACTTACCTGGGACGAGTGGTACACCGTAACGACAGGTACTTACCTGGGACGAGTGCACCGTAACAACACGTACTTACCTGGGACGAGAACATCGTGACAACACGTACTTACCTGGGACGAGTACACCGTAACAACGCGTACTTACCTGGGACGAGTACACCGTAACAACAAGTAATTACCTGGGACGAGTACACCGTAACAACACGAACTTACCTGGGACGAGTACACCGTAACAACACGGACTTACCTGGGACGAGTACACCGTAACAACAAGTAATTACCTGGGACGAGTACACCGTAACAATACGTACTTACCTGGGACGAGTACGCCGTAACAACATGTAATTACCTGGGACGATTACACCGTAACAACACGCACTTACCTGGGACGAGTACAACGTAACAACAGGTACTTACCTGGGACGAGTACACCGTAACGACATGTAGTTACCTGGGACGAGTACACCGTAACGACACGTACTTACCTGGGACAAGTACACCGTAACAACACGTACTTACCTGGGGCGAGTACACCGTAACAACACGAACTTACCTGGGACGAGTACACCGTAACAACAAGTAATTACCTGGGACGAGTACACCGTAACAACATGTACTAACCTGAGACGAGTACACCTTAACGACAGGTACTTACCTGGGACGAGTACACCGTAACAACGCGTACTTACCTGGGACGAGTACACCGTAACACCACGTACTTACCTGGGACGAGTACACCGTAACGACACGTACTTACCTGGGACGAGTACACCGTAACGACACGTACTTACCTGGGACGAGTACAACGTAACAACACGTACATACCTGGGACGAGAACACCGTGACAACACGTACTTACCTGGGACGAGAACACCGTGACAACTCGTACTTACCTGGGACGAGTACACCGTAACACCACGTACTTACCTGGGACGAGTACACCGTAACAACATGTACTTACCTGGGACGAGTACAACGTAACAACACGTACTTACCTGGGACGAGAACACCGTGACAACACGTACTTACCTGGGACGAGTACACCGTAACAACACGTACTTACCTGGGACGAGTACACCGTAACAACATGTAATTACCTGGGACGATTACACCGTAACAACACGTACTTACCTGGGACGAGTACACCGTAACAACACGCACTTACCTGGGACGAGTACAACGTAACAACACGCACTTACCTGGGACGAGTACACCGTAACAACAGGTACTTACCTGGGACGAGTACACCGTAACGACAGGTACTTACCTGGGACGAGTACACCGTAACAACACGCGTCTTGCAGGAAGTCAACACTTGACACGACATTGGATACCTCTGTTGTTGATACGTTCTCTCCCTTCCACCTATAAAACAAGACCAACCAGTAAAGTTTGAGTGACCAGACTCTACAACGCTAAACCAATACTTACAACGAGATGCAATATATCGACAAAGATCACCCGAACCATAAGGTTAACCAATATAGTAGGATAATATAAATCTAATACAATTCTAATCAATATCGTACGGGCGACTACATCCGACTGCACTGCTGAATAGATCTTTATAGTTACTGAACACATTGACATAAAGGTCGAGATGAGAATTGGGCAGATATTATTTATGAACATAATATCCTATAATGACTCTACAGATAACGTTATAGTATAGTGCGATGTTGATATGCTTTCTTGTTATTCTGACATACATTGGATATAAAGTTTTAAGCGCACAACAATTTCTTTAAAGGGCCTGTTTCCAGTAATGTTAATTCTCCATAGGAGCCTGCCCCCGTATAATTTCTTATCTAGCTCAACTACTGTTTTTTTCTTTTCCGAAGAATAATTTTACACCTTTCCGACACCCAGATTTCATAATTTCAGTGAAAATGTATTTTTATAAAGTTGTCAATTTCAGCATCAAAGACATAAGTTCGTAAATAAAAGAAGGTTNCGTCAACGTCATTTATTTTAACAAAACTTGACACCACCTCATCACAGAATGGTACGGGTCTCTGTGGCCGTACGCCTATACATTATTCATAGCATGTTAAAAAGTTTTAACACATTCGACAAATTATGAAATTAAGAGATGGCCAAGGTAATTAATTTGAACTAGCCTAGTGGTCTTTTTATCCGACATGCTTCAGACAAAATATCCTGTTCATGCTACAAAACAAATACCACGACCCTATACATTTTTTAAGTTATTTAGAAGTCATTTAAACATTTTAACAAATTTGATCAATGTGACCTTCAATGTTGGTCAAGTTTATTAGCTCTTCATTTCAAGATCGTACAAGCCCACTAGCATTCACCTTCATATGTTGGATAGTCAGAAGACTTCGTTTACATTTTTTGAAACATTTGATCGCCGGTAACGTGAAAGTAGGTATACGTCACTCACACGATAACCTTAATAACCTTTCATTCCATCATGATAATGGCAAAATATTATCATCTTAGCTTTATGTATATTGATAATTAAAATGAAGAAATTTAAAGAAAAAATCTCACGCCGGAGGACGCCCGAAAGTGGGTGAGCTTATAAGACGTGACAATATAACAGTTTAGGATAAATAAGGCTTTTATGTACGTGACTACTGTCTTTGATATACGTGACTTCTATCTTTGGTACACGTGACTACTACCTTTGATACACGTGACTACTACCTTTGATACACGTGACTACTGCCTTTGATACACGTGATAACTACGTTTGATACACGTGACTGCTACGTTTGATACACGTGACTACTACGTTTGTTACACGTGACTACTGCCTTTGAATCACGTGATTACTACGTTTGATACACGTGACTACTGCCTTTGAATCACGTGATTATTAAGTTTGATACACGTGACTATTGCCTTTGATACACGTGATTACCACGATGACTACTACCTTTTGTTCACGTTGCTACTTCTTTCTGTACACGTGACTACTACCTTTGATACACGTGACTACTACCTTTGATACACGTAACAACTACCTTTGATACACGTGGCTACTATACCTGAACGTGTCGCCCACTCTGTCGTGGAAGTAGGTGAAGTAATCCTTGTCCACATAGAAAAGATCACCAGCATTGACATATGTGTCGCCCTGTTTAAATACGTTTTTGATGAGTTTCTTCTCATTAGCTGCCGTCTGATTTTTGTATCCCTCAAATGTCACATCTTTACCCAAAGGAACCACCAGTAGACCAACTTCGTCTGTTCAAATAGCAAATCAAATTTGACTCGATCAACATTCGACTATAATACGCTTTGATCGCCATACATCAAAATATTGGTGCTATTTCATGATACATAAACAATATGTAATCTTCGCTCAGTCTAAGATGAACCATCCGAATTCTAACTTACTTGAATAATACCGAAGTTCCTTAAGTTAAGCTTTCCCCCGCACAAAACGCATTATTGAAGTTAAAATATTCTCAAGTTAAGGAAATTTCATAAAATATTGCAATCATGTTACATAGAAAATGTTCAAGAAATTTCTCAAAAAGCGATCGTAGCTGTGGCCAATACTCTTCACTGTGATGATAGATTTGAAAGATGTATTGTTTTCTCATCTCAAATCAATGTGTATTCTGATTTCAGCATTACTTTCATATGGCTTCGCGTTTCTGGCCTTGTACTAATCTTTTGAAGAATAATACTTCGATAAAACAGAAAGTGCGGTGGTGAATTGTATTACATTATACTTCTTTTCTTATATTCCTAAAATCTCCCATTTGGGGCACTTTTCCTAGTACAGAAAAACATAACTATAACTGATAAGGAGATATTCTGTATTGACACAAATAAGGTTGGGTGTTTTTTATATAAAGAACCGCCACTGACCTGGACAACAATCCCCGTTATCTTCACTTTAACCAATACATGTATGACGACCTGGTAACTACCAGAAGCCAATTCATTTTTAGTTCTTTGATTACAGGATTTTGATAGCTCGATATAAGGCTATATAATGGTATTTGAAATTGTAATGTAGACTTAATGATTAAATGAAATGCAAGTTATGTCACAACAGAAGTTAAACTGTATCTGTTCAGATTACTGCTACAATAAAACAAACGACGACTGACAGATCCTGGTCACGGCATCAAAATAATGTGAGCGTCTGTACATCAACAGTCATACCTGCACCACACGGCAAGCACAGCCCATCATCGCCAAGGAACGGTGTGTCGTTGTTTACATCGTACTTCACAAATGTACACGGTACAATTTTCCTCTGAAATCGAGTAGAAAAGTCGTGGAAGAAAAACATAAGTACATAGCCTGTCCATATTTCTTGTGTTTATATTTCTAGTATATTACCTTCTCGTTGATTTCGGATAATTTCACCTCTTAAAATTAGAATTACTTTTATTCACTGACTTGAGAATTTATGATTTATTACATTTTTTTTCAATTGAAATATTTGATCTTTCAGCGAATGTGACAGATATCCAAGGCGATATTTGTCTGAGTGTAACACTGTTGGTATTCACCAATCAAAACTGTTCTTCCTATTTACGGCATGCACAGACTTTCTGGTGAGCACGAGATGAAGATGAAGCGACGACAGATTACAAATGTAAGAGGTGTTTTTGTTCATCTTTGCTACATATACCCAGATAATCATCTAACAACACAACTGATCACATTATGTAAGCCACTATTGCACGATATAAGCAGAAATCGGCAGTAATGTGTTAAGTAGCCCGTTCATATTGGCACAAGCCTTGTTGTCAAGGGCTTTGTCAGTAAAACATGGCGCGGAAAGTTAAATCCTCAACTGATTTGTTGAAGCAATAATACTCGTCGTTGTGTGTAGTTTAAAAAGTATAAATAGAAACACATTGTTTTCCCTTTTGTCCTGGTGATATATAAATATATACATATGTATCTGATTTTGTCCTGGTTGTACCGATATATATTCCAATTTATATCATTCTTACTTTATATCTAATCCAAATCGCTATTAATCTTTTTTTCAATGGTTGACACAACCGCTATTTGTTTGTTTTATGCATTTTAAACCAAATACATACAATAAAACTTAAACAGAACTTTAAAATCCCTACCAGGAATGGTGAGCTCCTTCCACAAGCTCCGAATTTGTTAAAGAGGTTGATGAAACCAATGGGCATCTCCGTGGCTGCGTAGAATTCCACCATATTGGGCACAGAGAACCGACGCTGAAACTCCAGCCATACATCACGCCGCAGTCCGTTACCAATAGCGTGTTTCACGCAGTGTTTCTTATCGTCGGCAGACTGTAAAGGGAATGTAACAATACAACAAAACACGCTCTGTTATCGTGATTATAGAAGGATGCATTTCGCGGTATTATTCTACTGATATTTTGGCGATGTAGCTTCAACATGACTGAAAGATTGGGTGTTTGGAACTTATTACACAACCGCCATGTCAAAAACTACGCGCAAAGAAAGCAATATTTAGTGAGTTGCATTCTTTTATTCTTCTTTTTTTTTTGCAAATATTTGTTCTCATCTTTCCCAAAAAAATCACACAGCCAAGCTTACATATGATCAAGACCTACGGGTTTGATCATGAAAATAGGCGTTACATTCAAAATGGCGTTTTCATCAAGTCTAAGTTGATTATAGAACCAACGATCGGAAGCTCCAAGCAAATTCCTGGTGGCTGGTCGCGCTCATAATCGAAACGTTTGTTATTGTAACTATATTGGTTGATCCACTATTGCCCGAAGATGACTTGAGTACTAATTATTTACTGATCAGATACATATAAACCTAGTACTTGAGTAAATATGCGGAAGTTGTCGTTATTAGACTTATTCTGAAGTAAATTACTTACCTCTGGTGTGTTCACCAGGTAGCGCAATAGTTCCCCTACATAATGGATGATGGTCACGTTGTGTTTTCGGCAATCATCCCAGAAACGCGTTGCTGAGAACTTCTCTCTCAGTACAACTGTCGCACCTGTAGAACAACACAGCAAACACACAGAAAGCATGAAGCACTATTGTCCTTATGGCTTGTCCTATGAACACACGAAGATAACTTTAGAAGGATATACCTATGTGAATAAATCTTTATATAAATGTTAACGTTTAATAGCATGTGTTTTCTGTTTCTACAAGTTTGTGATACTAAAGATAGATAAATATTGTATGTGATGCATGTAAGTGGTACAAGGAACATCGGCGTCTTCCCATTCTACAGTTCAGTTACATACCTTTAGATAACACCGAGCCGATGCCCACGATAAGACCCGCCGAGTGGTACATCGGTAGAGGTTCGTACACTATGTCGTCTCTACTGATGTCAAACATCCACATCACCAGGGCGCCCCTTAGAGTCTTGGCATGTGTTACTATGGCTGGTTTGGGTAGGCCTGGAGAAGCACATCAGAAGCAATGTACTGAAAACTTTTGAAAATCTGAACCCTTCAACTGTACCCTTAGGGACTAAATTTGCACGTTCACTATAAGTTGGTACTGATTACAAGTATCAGTTGCTTAAAAATCAGACTAGACCTTTTTTATAGCGCAAGTGTGTTAGTACAAATACGTAGTCCATTATCACATGTATCGCTTGTTAAACACAAAAAATGTTTTTTTTATTGGAACCATCGAGTCCGATATATGTTTTAAAATAAGGAAATCGTGGCTGGGGTCATGTTTTTTTGATTGGAATCATAGAGTCCGATACATGTTTTAAAATAAAGAAATCGTGGCTGGTGTTATGTCTTTTTGCGCACGCCCATCAAGCTTACCTGTCGTACCAGATGTGAAGATATAACAATTGACAGAGGAAAATTCCAATAAGGCTCTCTCCGATACGTCAATGGCATCGGTTGACATGGAGGAACACGCCTCTGTAAACGACTTGAAGGTGGCAGGAAGTGACGTGTCACAGGAGTAAAACGAGATTCCCACCAGATCGTCTTGAATGTCAGTTACAGAATCCAGTAAATCTTTCCCTATTGAAAATAATGTAGACGGTGTTTAACTTGTGGTCTCAAGACAGCATGCCAGCATAACTGAGGAGGATTCTGAACGACAAGCACGTCTAACAACATAACTGAGAAGGATTCTGAACGACAAGCACGTCTAACAACATTACATTGGAATAAGAGAAAAATACTAGTTCATGCCCAAAGGTGTAGGATAGGGAAATGCTACCCTCGGGATTTTCAAATTTTGCAAATCCAAAAAAAAAACTCGGGTGGAAATTCCCTATCCTACACCCCTGAACATGAAAGAATCTTATAGTCCTTTTTGATATTATAAAAGCAGAAAAATAATCCTAACGGACGAAGAAATAATACACAAAGAAAAAATCTCAACAACGAATCTTTAGTACTTTCATCTCTTCAAGGAGATTCTTCAGACTGAAGAGATGAAAGTACTTAAGTGGATTTTTTTTCTTTTTATATTATATATATAAACACTAACCAAGTAACAAACATCGACATTCCAATCTACACAATAACTCATATCGCTTACACTTCTAAAACAAAATCAGTAGTTCAGTTAACAAACTTATGCTGTGTTCCAACAGAATATTTTACACTAAACTCACCTTGACCTACAATGAGTAGTTTTGGCTCGCACACATTGATACAATGTGCTAAGGACTTGGATCTTAAGTTATGGTTGATGAACGCCTGCTGAACACCAATCTTTTGTAGACCTACAATAACAAGTATTACGCTGATGTGTACACGTTTATATTTTAGCGGGCATAAAAATAATAACCAGAGTATAGTTCAAAGATTTGATTTTGAAGCAAGCACGCTTTCTTCGTCATAACCTAAGTCTGGAACTCGCAAAAACTTTCTGTAATACATGTACTTCAAAATCATATTATACACATATTGAAACGTTTGTCCCCTTGAAAAAGATGACTGGTTGGAACCTCGTTCCAGATAATATATGTACCTAGGTAGGTCCAGATAAGGGCCGGCTGGTTGTACATCATTATAGCCACCACGTCTCCCGTGTGGAGCCCCATCTCCAGGGCGGCACGTGCTACCTGATTAGCCTTCTCCTGCACCTGTTTATAAGTAAATGAATTCTCCTGGAACACAATGAAGACCTTATTCGGGTACATTGCAACGGTTTCATCAAAATAATCCGCCACCGTCTTTGTGATTTTCGCCGCCGAATTGAATTCTTTGACAATCTTCATGACCTTCCTGAGGTACACTAAGTCGTAATGGAGCCATGGCGCAAAAATCTTGATTCCAAGACATATACTGGAAACGGCAGCGAGTATTCCCGTCGCCAGTAGAAACATCGTGGTGACTGGAACAAGAACAAGGAATACAATGTCATGAAGCTAATAAACCGTTTACAACCTCGTCCTTGATATCATAATCACATGTTATCAGGCCTAATATAACAAGAGGCCCAGAGGGCCGGTATCGCTCACCTGAATATGTTTAAAATAATTGGTATGAAGTAAAGATATAGCACTCCATGGTAGGTGCTGTTATATGAAATTTCAGAAAGATCCATCCAGTACTTGAGGTATAGCAAGAACAAACTTCAAACAGAGTCCCACCCCTATGCCCCTAGGGGGTCATACCCATCAATTATACAAAATTGAGTCCCCTTGGCCCAAGGATGCTCCAGACTAAATAACGATAAAATCCCTTAATCCCGATGGTCAAAGAAGGATTTTAAAGGTTTTACCTCCATTTTCCCTATTGGGCCCAACCCTTCTGTCCCCTGGAAGACCACACCCACTGCTTATTCAAAATTGAGTCCCCTTGGCCCAAGGATGCTTCATACCAAATTTCGACAAAACCCTGTCATTCCTACAGAAGAAAACGGATTCTGTAGCTTTACCTCTATTTCCCCTATTGGGCCCCTCCCTTCTGCCCCCAGGGAGGCCACACTTGCTGTTTATACAAAATTGAGTCCCTTTTGCCCAAGGATGCTCCAGACTGAAACTGAATAAGGATAAAATCCCTTAACCCCTATGGTAGAAGAAGGATTATAAAGGTTTTACCTCTATTTCCCTTCTTGGGCCCCGCCTCTCAGGTCCCAGGAAGGCCACACTCACTGTTTATACAAAATTGGTTTCCCTTTACCCATGGATGTTCCACACCAAATATGGAACAAATCCTTTCATTCCTACAGAAGAAGAAGGATTTTAATGAATAATTTGCTATGTTTCCCCTATTGGGCCCCGCCTCTCAGGCCCCTGGGGGGCCAGACCCACGGTTTATACAAAATTGGATCCCCTTCACCCAACGATGCTTCAGGCCAAATATGGACCAAATCCTTTCATTCCTACAGAAGTAGAAGGATTTTAAAGAATAATTTGCTATTTTATGCTTTGCTATTGGGCCTCGTCCCTCAGCCCCCAGAGGGGCCAGACCCACCATTTATACAAATTTTGTTCCCCTTCCCCAAAGGTACTTCTGACCAAATATGGACCAAATCCTTTCATTCCTACAGAAGAAGAAGTATTTTAAAGAATAATTTGCTATGTTTCCCCTATTTGGCCCCGCCCCTCAGGCCCCTTGGGGGCCAGACCCACGATTTATACAAAATTGGATTCCCTTAACCCAAGGATGCTTCAGACCAAATATGGAACAAATCCTTTTATTCCTACAGAAGAAGAAGGATTTTAAAGAATTTGCTATATTTCCCCTTTTTGGGCCCCGCTCCTCAGGCCCCTGCGGGACCAGACCCATCGTTTATACAAAATTGGTTTCCCTTTACCCAAGGATGATCCACACCAAATATGGACTAAATACTTTCATTCCTAAGGAAAAAGAAGGATTTTAAAGAATAATTTGCTGTTTCCCATATTGGGCCCTGCCCCTCAGGCCCCTGAGGGTCCAGACCCACGGTTTATACAAAATTGATTCCCCTTTACTCAAGGATACTTCAGCCCAAATATGGAACAAATCCTTTCATTCATACAGAAGAACAAGGATTTTAAAGAATTTGCTATATTTCCCCCATTTGGCCCTGCCCCTCAGCTCCCAGGGGGGCCAGACCCATCGTTTATACAAAATTGGTTTCCCTTTACCCAAGTTTGCTCCACACCAAATATGGAGCAAATCATTTAATTCCTACAGAAGAAGAAGGATTTTAAAGAAGAAATTGCTATATTTCCCCTATTTGGCCCCGCCCCTCAGACCTCTAGGGGGCCAGACCCACCATTTATACAAAATTGAGTCTCCTCCCCCCAAGGATGCTCCACACCAAATGTTGTTAAAATCCGCTCAGTGGTTCATGACTAGTAGTGTAAAGTTGACGGACGACGGACGCAAGACGACCGACGACGGACGCTGCGGTATGGCATAAGCTCACCATGGTCCTTTGGACAAGGTGAGCTAAAAATTTAGACTACAAGTGTTAAGCCTGATGTAGTAATCGCGAGATATCTAGACTATAAGTGTTAAGCCTGATGTAATAATCGCGAGATATCTAGACTACAAGTGTTAAGCCTGATATAGTAATCACGAGATATCTAGACTACAAGTGTAAAGCCTGATGTAGTAATCGCGAGATATCTAGACTACAAGTGTTAGACCTGACATAGTAATCGCGAGATATCTAGACTACAAGTGTTAAGCCTGATGTAGTACAGGCAGATATACAGACTACAGGTGTTAAACATGATATAGAAATCACAAGATATCTAGACTACAGGTGTTAGACCTGATATAGAAAGCACAAGATTTCTAGACTACAAGTGTTAGACATGATATAGAAATCACAAGATATCTAGACTACAAGTTTTAGACCTGATATAGAAATCACAAGATATCTAGACTGCAAGTGTTAGACCTGATAAAGTAATCACGAGATATCGAGACTTCAAGTGAAGTATTAGACCTGATACAGCAATCACATTGATATATAGACTGCAAATGTTATGTCTGTTATATTAATCGCTTACTATCTAGAAAAAAATGTGTAAGGCCTGATATAGTTATCACGAGATATATAGATTACAAGTATTAGACCTGGTATAGTAATCACGAGATGTCTTAATCACAAGTGTTAGACCTGATATAGTAATCACGAGATGTCTTAATCACAAGTGTTAGACCGGATATGGTAATCACGAGATGCCTTAATCACAAGTGTTAGACCTGATATAGTGATCACGAGATATCTTAATAACCGGTGTTAGACCTGACATAGTAATCACGAGATGTCGTAATCACAAGTGTTAGACCTGATATAGTAATCACGAGATGTCTTAATCACAAGTGTTAAACCTGGTATAGTAATCACGAGATGTCGTAATCACAAGTGTTAGACCTGATATAGTAATCACGAGATATCTTAATCACAAGTGTTAGACCTGATATAGTAATCACGAGATGTCTTAATCATAAGTGTTAAACCTGGTATAGTAATCACGAGATGTCTTAATCACAAGTGTTAGACCTGATATAGTAATCACGAGATGTCTTAATCACAAGTGTTAGACCATATATCATTTTGCACTTTGAAATCCTGTTGTATCCATTAGCGATAAGAAAGATACCAAGTTCAATTGTTCAGAATATTCTTGATTTTAATCATTTTATATGTTAGATGTTTGAAAATAAGCGGGAAAGTATATTGAGTTTTAGAACAATTCCCTATTACCTGTAACAATTCACCGCGTTGTTAAAAACCAAATGTATACATGCATGAAAGCTGCCTAACGTGTATGTAACGATACATTAAAAAGACTCAATTTGTTAAACGAATGCATGTATATAATGTTCTTTAAATTATCTGAATCACTACCTGCACAAACTATTTTTTCCTGTATTTACTTGAATTACGACCTTACCAAACTAGGTGTTTCTGTATTTACCTGAATTACGACCTTACCAAACTAGGTGTTTCTGTATTTACCTGAACTACGACCTTACCAAACTAGGTGTTTCTGTATTTACCTGAACTATTACCTTACCAAACTAGGTGTTTCTGTATTTACCTGAATTGCGACCTTACCAAACTAGGTGTTTCTGTATTTACCTGAATTACGACCTTACCAAACTAGGTGTTTCTGTATTTACCTGAACTACGACCTTACCAAACTAGGTGTTTCTGTATTTACCTGAACTATTACCTTACCAAACTAGGTGTTTCTGTATTTACCTGAATTGCGACCTTACCAAACTAGGTGTTTCTGTATTTACCTGAATTACGACCTTACCAAACTAGGTGTTTCTGTATTTACCTGAACTACGACCTTACCAAACTAGGTGTTTCTGTATTTACCTGAACTATTACCTTACCAAACTAGGTGTTTCTGTATTTACCTGAATTGCGACCTTACCAAACTAGCTGTTTCTGTATTTACCTGAATTACGACCTTACCAAACTATGTGTTTCTGTATTTACCTGAACTATTACCTTGACAAACTGGATGTTCTTGAATTTAACTGAATTACTGTTTAATTCAACTTAGATCCTGTATTTACCTGAAATACTACCCTGTCAAACTAGGTGTTTCTGTATTTACCTGAACTATTACCTTACCAAACTAGGTGTTTCTGTATTTACCTGAATTGCAACCTTACCAAACTAGGTGTTTCTGTATTTACCTGAATTACGACCTTACCAAACTAGGTGTTTCTATATTTACCTGAACTATTACCTTGACAAACTGGATGTTCTTGAATTTACCTGAATTACTGTTTAATTCAACTTAGATCCTGTATTTACCTGAAATACTACCCTGTCAAACTAGGTGTTCTTTTATTTACCTGAACTATTACCTTGACAAAGTGGATGTTCCTGTATTTAGATGAATAACTGTCTAAAAACCTAAATGTTCCTGTATTTAGATAAATTACTGCCTGAACAAACAAGATGTTCCTGTATATAACTGAATTACTGCCTGAACAAACAAGATGTTCCTGTATATAACTGAATTACTGCCTGAACAAAACAAGATGTTCCTGTATATAACTGAATTACTGCCTGAACAAACAAGATGTTCCTGTATATAACTGAATTACTGCCTGAACAAACAAGATGTTCCTGTATATAACTGAATTACAACCTTAACAAACAAGATGTTCCTGTATACAACTGAATTACTGCCTGAACAAACTAGATGTTCTTGTATTTAGATGAATTGCTGTTTGAATAAACTAGGTGTTCCCGTATTTACCTGAAATACTACCTTGACAAACTAGGTGTTCCTGTATTTACCAGAAATACTACCTTGACGAACTAGGTGTTCCTGTATTTACCTGAAATACTACCTAGACAAACGAGGTGTTCCTGTATTTACCTGAAATACTCCCTAGACAAACGAGGTGTTCCTGTAT